ATCATCGGGTACACCTGCAAGCTTAAATAGTCCACATATGTCATCCACAAAGCGTAGATGTTCGTCAGGATGCTTTGTTCCATCTCCTGCGAAAGTGTTAGCTAGCAGTTTTTCCATCATACCCGAAGGAATCTAAAAAGCAGTTTCATCTTCAATAGATTCGGTAGGTTCAGTAGGTTGAGGAGCAACTCTTGGCTCAACTGGAAGGGGTGAAGATACCCCAAACAAGCCCCTCAAGCAATTACTTTCCATGGTAACAAGTGACAGAAAATTTCAGCACACTAAATAAATTTTTCCTTACCAAATTCCACCTACCAAAGGCGCTTCACTCCCCGGCAACGGTGCCAGAAAAGAGTCTTGATGACCCACAAGTATAGCAGATCTATCATAGTCCTTTCGATAAGTAAGAGTGTCGAACGCAACGAGGAGCAGAAGGAAATGATAAGCGGTTTTCAGCAAGGTATTCTTTGCAAGTACTGAAATAAGTGGTAACAGATAGTTTTGTGATAAGATAAATGGTAACGAGCAACAAGTAACAAAAGTAAATAAAGTGCAGCAAGGTGGCCCAATCCTTTTTGTAGCAAAGGACAAGCCTGGACAAACTCTTATAATAGGAAAAGCGCTCCCGAGGACACATGGGAATATCGTCAAGCTAGTTTTCATCATGCTCATATGATTTGCGTTCGGTACTTTGATAATTTGATATGTGGGTGGACCGGTGCTTGGGTACTGCCCTTACTTGGACAAGCATCCGCAACTACAACAAAAGTATTAAGGTAAACCTAACCATAGCATGAAACATATGGATCCAAATCAGCCCCTTACGAAGCAACGCATAAACTAGGGTTTAAGCTTCTGTCACTCTAGCAACCCATCATCTACTAATTACTTCCCAATGACTTCCTCTAGGCCCAAATAATGGTGAAGTGTTATGTAGTCGATGTTCACATAACACCACTAGAGGTTAGACAACATACATCTTATCAAAATATCGAACGAATACCAAATTCATATGACTACTAATAGCAAGACTCCTCCCTTGTCCTCAGGAACAAACGTAACTACTCACAAAGCATATTCATGTTCATAATTAGAGGGGTAATAATGTGCATATAGGATCTGAACATATGATCTTTCACCAAATAAACCAACTAGCATCAACTACAAGGAGTAATCAACACTACTAGCAACCTACTAGCACCAATCCGGACTTGGAGACAAGAATTGGACACAAGAGATGAACTAGGGTTTGGAGATGAGATGGTGCTGGTGAAGATGTTGATGGAGATTGCCCTCTCCCGATGAGAGGAGCGTTGGTGATGACGATGGTGATGATTTCCCCCTCCCGGAGGGAAGTGTCCCCGGCAGAATAGCTCTGCCGGAGCCCTAGATTGGTTCTGCCAAGGTTCCGCCTCGTGGCGGCGGAGTCTCGTCCCGAAAGGTTCTCTTCTATTTTTTCTCATCGAAAGACTTCATATGGGAGAAGATGGGCATCGGAGAGCCACCAGGGGGCCCACGAGGTAGGGGGGCGCGCCCCCCACCCTCGTGAGCAGGGTGTGGGCCCCCTGGCCTTCATCTTTGGCGATGATTTTTCTTTATTTATTTTAAGGTATTCCGTGGAGTTTCAGGACTTTTGGAGTTGGCAGAATAGTCCTTCAATATTTTCTCCTTTTCCAGCCCATAATCCAAGCTGCCGGCATTCTCCCTCTTCATGTAAACCTTGTAAAATAAGAGAGAATAGCCATAAATATTGTGACATAACGTGAAATAACAGCCCATAATGCAATAAATATTGACATAAAAGCATGATGCAAAATGGACGTATCAAGTGTCCGTTGCAACCAACAAGCGGTGCTACGAGCCGTTCGGCCAGAATTAGCAAGACAATGCGAGACCATGTTCTGTGATCTCGGGATCTTCACTGGTTTAAACTCCCTCTGCAGCATGTAGTTCTTGATCTCCCTGACCAATTGACCATTGGGTGATTTATCAAGGGAGGCATCAGTCATATAAGAAAGGGTCACCATGAGTCTGTTGTACTAAGACCGGAAGGTTAGACCATTCGATAGCCATAGACATTCCTACCTTAATAGCTTGAATTTTCGCCTCGAGAGCATTGTTACAGTAGAACAATAGTTGACATGATATTCACATTTATTTAGTTGTAGGTATGTGTGTTTATTTTTATTATTCTATCGTGATATGCACATTTTTTTAGGTCACTAATGTCTGGTATAATCAATTTTATAAGCATCTTATATTAATTAACCAACATTCGTACAATCATTTTCTCAACAAGTTCCACCACTCTCCACACATGGAGGAACCTTGCCATACACAACACCTTTAAAATTTGGTCCATTAGCCGGCTCTGGTATGGGAGCGGTGACAGCGGCGCGTCGGCGGCTTGTTCTGGCGGCGGCAATGGTGGTTCGGTGGTCGATGGACATCGATGTAATTTTTATTATGTTTGAGGTGGTTTGTACTTCCCGTGAATCTTTATAATAGATCTGATTCTTTTCGCAAAGAAAAAAGAGATTTGGTCCATTAGGAAAATTTTCAAAGAATTTCAGTGTTACTGAATGATTTGGTCCACTAGAACCTTTATAAGATATTTCTCATTGATTTATTTGCACTCTATTTTGGAGTACCTGCCCTAGTGAACCATTAAAAGAATTTGGAGTATGAACAAAACATGCTTTGTGAATTGTGATGGACCCTACCCTAGTGACTTCGCCACTAAGAAATTCTACAACAGAAGGAAGTTGGTTTGGTGTTAAACCCTAAAAGCGATGGGCCTGGAAGGATTAAATAAAAATGGCCTTTTGCCTGCTTTGCTTTTGTATCACATCCACTGTAAGTATGTGATTCTATTTCTCTAGAGCACTTACAGTCAACTACAAGGGCAGTGGAATATGGGCTTTAGCCGCTTGTGTAATGCATGCATGCGCTAAACACGGCTTGGTTAAACGTGATAGCAAAAGATTTCCAGAGCAGATGCATGGTTTTCGCATGGACAAATCTCAAGAATATATACCTACACTATGCAGTTTAGTCAGGCCAGACCTTGTGCGTGTTAAAATAAACAATCTAATCAACTAAGAGATGTATTTCCAAATGTAGTTTGATGCAAAAGTACTAGACTGGACTATGTCAACTTTGTCCTAGCCCTAGTACGACACGCTATCAGCTCTAACTCCAGTAAGATTTCAACAAGAACTTCAAGTTTTGCAATTTAGGAGTGAAACTAAGATTGGGGGGTATTCAACTAACTAGTTAATACTTAGGCCTCCTTTGGTTTGGAGGAATATCGTAGGAATTCTATAGGATAGGATTTTTGTAGGAATTTTTCCTTTAGACCCCCTTGGTTCATAGGAATGAATTCATATTCCTACATAGGATTGGTTCATATCGTCCACACTTTAAGGCCTTTTTTGGTTCATAAGATAGGAATGTTACAGGAATAAGAAAATCATAGGAAGTGAGATGATATATTCTTTTTGGAAATGAAGACATGCCCCCGGCCTCTACATCATGATGATGCATGCGGCCATCTTATTAACAATCCAAAATCGTCATAAAACTCTTACAGCTCACAAAACGGAGCAGAATAAAGTATCGAAAAAAAGGAAAAATACATGTGAACCATGTCAACCGGCACAATGAAGATAAAAAGGATAAGCTCTCTAGACTCCTATCCTGTTATGCGAGCGCCATCCGAACCGGTTGAAGATAACCCGAGCTACCATCTCCCATTGGTTGCACCCAGTCCAAAGGCTCCCACATGCAACTCAATTCCTATAGAGAAAGAGATGTCATTTGATGCATAGGATAGGAATTTTTTCATTGAGTCTTTGCTAATGTTTTTTCTCTCCTAAATGCGAAGGATTGATTCCTATCCTACATAGGAATAGGAATTCATTCCTACAAACCAAAGGGCTTCAAAGGAAATTTTCCTTTGCAAATCCTATCATATAGAAATCCTATAAAATTTCTACAAACCAAAGGAGGCCTAAGGAAAATTAAGTTAGAATTAGGGAGGTTTCTGCCTCTTTGAGCCGTGATCAGTTGATAATGATTCATAGAAAGGAAGAAAAAAGGTACCTCCAAGAACAAAAGATGCCAAATCCGTCGGGCACATGCAAGACACGTATAGACATTCTAGTGGTTTGGCAAAGGTGGTGCACACTACTGCAAAGCCCAGCACTGAGCTTCCTCCTTCCTTATCCCAGATGATTAAGAAACCGAAAGGTCATCCGGCATGTAGGACAACTGCATTACTTTGTATTATTGCAATTGCAACTTGGCAAGGCTTTATATATTGGAAAGAAGGCTTAACCTTTTTGTGAATGATTGTGAGTATGCATCACTTTATCCTAACAAAGTTGTAGTGCTCTTTTGTGTTCTGAAACCTCCAGCACGTGTGTACTGGCGAATGGAATCGTCTTCCGGATTGCGTATTTCTGTAAGCTAAACACAGAAATTTTGATCCCGCCGAGTATCTCTTTTGTTATGCGCTATGCAAGCATGCATCTTCCATGTGATTGGCAGAAGTAATCATCAGTTCTCAGAGGAAAAAAGAAAGGTAAATGATGTTAGCAGAGAGCAATGGAAGGCAAGTTTTACAAGAAACAACATCAAACAAGCAGAACATTTGATTTCATTCATGCCAAATCTCCGCCGACTATCGTTGCATCAACAGAATTTTACACTTGGATTCAGACAGAAGCCCTGAGCATCATGACACATATGCACATCCGGTGCATGATGAACATTATTGATGTGGTGTTTACAACAACAGGCCAATTACGCCCACCATCAACATACATGGGTTGCTGCCAAAACAGTTCTTCAGACTTGATACAACAAACAGGCAGAGAATCGCAGGGCTGATGATTTCGTTACAGAGGGATCCACTGATTCTTTCCCTTTTTTTTCCCTTTCGATAACACGCAGGAGAGATCCACCTGTTCTTTTCAGCCATGGTACAGAATAATTCCTTACTCCTGCTCTGGCTGCGCTGATGGGACGAGCGGCTGATGTTCATCAGCACCACTTGATATTCTGTCCATGCCACACAACTCGGGGGATTTTATAAGCACAAATGGTGATTTGTGTAGAGCAGCGAAGGCCTTGTTTCCTTCACCGTTGCTCCCTAAACAAATGGTATCACCCCGCCCGTGCCAGACACCACACTGGACATTATTCATCTCTAAAGTTCTCGCCTCCTGCTTATTCAAAATGACAACTGTGAGGCTAATATATCCATAATTAACAAATTAGTGAAATTCTGGTTCCAAGGGGGTCTGAATGTATATAACCTGGCACAGGGTACAACAAGGACATATCAGATGGAGAACACAGTCATCTAGACTGCCATCAGTCCCCTGAAATCACACAAAAGGGTCAATGAGATGTCTTACTCTCCCCCATCATTCCTGAATTAAAGGACATATACTAATATCTATTCAAAAGTTGGCAAAATAGTCATCACATACAAACTGGCAAGGGTATACCGAGCTACCAATATTAACTCAAAACAAGTTTCAGTTATTGTTCATTCAATTAAAGCCACAGATTTGAATTAACTGTGAATCAAGAGAAGACAGGTACCACAGCCAAATGCATTAAGTACTAGTGCACTGGTAAGCTGTAATCTGTTTGAATACTTTATTTGAAAACACTAATTCAGAAATACTTACCCGGATATTGAACTGTTTCCTGATTCTTCTTCGGAAGTAACCGGTGTAGATTGCTATCAAGAGAACAGAACCAAGTCCCATATAGAGATATACATGATGCCTTGTTACGGAAAAGGCAACTAAGCTGACCAGAACAGCAACTAATGAAATGAAGTAAGCCATTGCCTGAAATAGTTTCATATTGTATCAGAGGAGTGAATAAGAGTTCTTAAAAAGAACATAAGCTTAACAACACAGCTCAAGTAAACCAATGGTAAAACTGAAAATGTAAGATTCCAATGGGAACAAGAGTATGTTGCAGCATACAACAATGGTTCTAATAATTCTAAAAAGACTTCGCAACAGGGAAGGACGACAGAAAAAACACAAATTTAGCAGCACGTATTGACAGACATGGAGGGTAAAGCACATTTGGTTGATAGCCACATCCTGCCAAATTTTGCCACAGATGAGAGAACTGTTTGTGACTACATAAACTCACTCTTGCGAAACCTTACCAAAATACGTGACAACTAATTTGTTTGGCACACTTTGTGTGACTTGTTATGGCAAGTCAAATTCTTGTAGGCTTCGACCTGGTCAACATGAATGACCCTGCCCTTTTTTGTGAGCTTGCGCATACCCTAAAGGATAAGTTCTAGTAATATGATTTCTAGTTATATTATATGTTGGAGGGAATGAGACTGCACGTTATACTTGCGGGAGGGTTGACTTGCCAATGTGAACAGGGCAGGATGTCCTTCACGTTGACCAGGTCTAAGACCAAAAGAATACAGAATTATCCAAGCAAATCCTTTTCACATTGGCAAGTCAAACATCCTATGCATTATCTTCTCCGTTGTATAACTAGTCAGAAGACAGCTTTGCTATTTTTGTCTAAACAACTTAAATGGAAGTAATCATTCATTTCAACAAATTTAGCAAGAGACAATCCTCTAGCATTACGAGGAATTTAGAGTAAATAGAGAAAAATCACATACATACTTAAGAAGTTAAGATGTTACTTTTCAGGGCAAATATATTTGTAATGGTCTACTGAACTCTAATAGGTTGACCTACAAGAAATTCTGCATTTGGTACTGGAATAAAGAGCCTACCACAACCAAACGGTTTCCTACTTCCTACCAACAGCAGCATGATAAACTAACCTCAACTGGTTTTGCGTGATCTACACAGTAACGTGACTAGATTTTTGGCACGGAAAAATGACAAGCAAGAAATGGACGAGACATGGCCATAAGTTGCTCAGGGTATTATCTGTACCTGAAGGAAGCAAGATCCGAGATTGGCTCTCCGCATGTTCTTGCCAAACCTATAGCATGGGCAACTGCAAGTAGTTGCAAGCAAACAAGAACGTTAAAACGAAGAAACCCAAAAGTTTAATCGCAGTTGCACATTAAAATATGTTGTGCAGCAGAGGAAAATGGAATCTTTTTCAGAGACAGTTAAAATGGAACAAAGGCAGAAGGGGGGAAGACCTCACGTTGGGGAATGTTCCCTACTAATAACTTATCTTAAACATGTTGATTTTTCTTTCATGATTCAAGCTAGGAAATACTTTTGGGTACTCGAATTAACCAACCTAAAAGCAAAGAGAGAAACTAAACCTCGAGTAAAATTCTATCACTTGTCATTCGCGAGTCTTCATTGAAGATGAAGTATTCTCTAAGGACAGCTAGCACACTAATTAGCGAAAGACCTTTATTTGGCGAATGCCTTTCTTCTTCCACGATTGTACTCCAGCTAGGAAGAAGTAACAAATGATGAGACTATCGCTAAATTAGATACCACTGATGGCATTTCAAGCAGTATCCATATTTTTTTTCGAAAGGGGAAAACCCCGGTCTATGCATCATGAATTCATGACGACGATGCACACAGCCAAAACAAGCAGTATTCATGCGAGACAGAGTAGTAAGAAGTATTCCATATGGAGTTGGCATAAAGACGACAGCAGCGCAGTTTATGCCCAAATCCGCACAAAATCAATATGGAAAGATTGAGCTAAACTGCTAGTACGTAGTAGAATCTGCAAGCTTTCCCGTGGCAACCACCGAAAACAGGTCCTTCCGAACCAACCAATAGAGGTTTGATGAATGAAAGCAGCGGCCAAGAGTTAGCTCCACCTACCAGGCGGCCTCGAGCGCGATTCGCCGGTCCTCCAAGCAATCAATCACGACGTCCCCCTCCCACATCCTCTGCACCCCTCCTCCGCCGGCGCTCTCGGCGCCGCCCGAGCACGCCGCCACCGCCTCCATGCCGGCGCCCTTCCTCCTCTCCGCCGACATGGCCACGGACGCGCAGAGCATGTCGAAGTCCAGCACCGCCATCGCCTCCTCCTCCTCCGGGCGGCTCCTTGGCGCCGTGGACGCCTCCTCCGCCGCCGCGGCCATGGACGGAGCCTCCCTCGCTCGCTCTCCCTCCCTCCCTCTTCCTGTCCTGAAGTTTTTGTTTCGTACTATTGCGTTGCTACTACTTGGTCCCGTAACGCGGTGGGTTTTTAACGTCTTATTAATAAGCGCCTCCCATTGGGAGAGAGAGAGGGGGGAAAAGGGCATCTCCGATTGGGATTTGGGAGAACACCCACCTGTTCGCACTCGCTTCGGTGGCCGAATTCCCCACGGTGAGGTGGGTCCAGCGGGGCCCAGCTGTCAAGAGGTCCCACGCGCCAGCGGGGGATGCCGGGGAACACGTGGGTGCCGGGAGGACGAGGCGCCCGAATTACCGAAGGTTAAATCGGGCAATTAGCCGCGTGGCTGCTAATAATAACGTAACGCGCGTGGTCTGGGGCGGCGGTGGTTGGACTTTGGATTGGGCCGCCGCCCGCGGCGCCTGCTCCGAAGTCCAGACTGGACGCGGGTCCGCCTGTCAGTCAGGCGTTCTGTCTCCTTTCGCTTATCCGGTTTTCTCTTCCGAGAAAGGGCGTGCCGCTTCGGGGCACCTCAAAACGTGCACCTCAAATTTTGCAGCCCCGAGGGGACAGGTACTGTACTGCTGACGCTCAACTTGGCGGGCAATCATTTGGGTTTTTTTGAGGGCAACGGCATCATGCTCTGCTTGCGTATATGCAGGCGCACAAATCAGTTGCTCGGCCAAACCCAAACAGAATGGCCGTTCTCTTTCGTTCTCCCATTGAACGCGTATAGTTGGAAACAATTTTCGTTTCTCTCTCAGTCTCACGTGATAAATATGGACATCTATATCATGCGAAGGAAGGATCGTACGTTTTCTTTTGTTGACATAAGGATTTTTAGCTCGTGGCGATTCACGGTCTTCTGCTAGTTTTGTACGTGACCCAAAGCCGTTCCTAGGGCACATTCTTCACAGCCATAGGGAGAGAAAACTAGAACCTTCAAAGTTATTGAATACTTTGAAAACTTGTCGTTGAGCGATAATCCATTTCTGAGCCAAGGCTCATCTGCACCCACGCTGAAGAAAAAAATCAAAATAAATACTAGGAAAATTCTAAAATTCCAAAAAAATGCATCGTAAATAATTTGATGTATGAGGTCCCCTCTAATTTTCAAGTCATTTCGACACCTGAGCACTCTCAGCAAAAAAGACAAATCATGTCGGCAAAAAAGGATAATTTCAGACCAAAAAAGTGGAGCGGACCTCAGATGTCGAAATGATCTGAAAATTGGAGTGGACCTCACGCAATAAATTTTCTACCATGAAAAAATGGATTTTTTTGAAGTTTTGTAATTTTCTTTTCTGACCGGGTGCAGATGTGCCTGGGCACCGAAACACCGCACTCGTCGTAGAGCAGCTGCAAACTGTGAGCATTTAATCAAGCTATGATCATGTGTGTCACATATAAAAAAGCAAGATAAAAATGTTTGAATTTTGGCAGGTTTTACATTAACTTTCTTTTTACAATTTTATGAACTTTGCAAGTTATCATTTCATCACTTATCTCTACTACTTAAAAAGAACGTAATGTTCTCATTTCACCTTTCTTCTCACCGCCCCTTCGTCCAACCTTCTATGTATATGATAATCAATCACCTTAATTTACTTATCTTCTGAACCAATTCCACTTTAATTTACTTATCAAACTTCTACTCAAAATACAGATTTTCTTACCAAACTTTTAATCAAAATACAAGGTAATTCACGGGCAGAATTTGCTGAACATTTATTTACACAATCGCATTATTATTGATAGATAAATCATAAGCTAACGTACTAGAATATTTATATCTCGTTGCAACGCACAGACATTGTTCTAGTAAACTCTAAACTGTAAAATCAGTACCTAGAGCCAAGCTAAGATTTCGACTAGTAAGCAGAGTGTTACGATGACGATTTCATAGTTCAACTCACGCCAACGTACATATTTAAGTTTTTGGAACATTTAGTACTTCCTCTGTGTTTATTTCCTCCGCATATTAGGTTTGTCTAAAGCCAAACTTTATATATACTTTCAACAAGTTTGTAGAAAAATATATTAATATAGACACCACCAAATATATATCATTAGATTCATCATTGCATATATTTTCATTCATATAAATTTATTATTGTAAATGTTCATATTGTTTTCTACAAACTTGGTCAAACTTTATAAAGTTTGACTTCAGTCGAAGCTAATATAAGGAGTAAATAAAAATGAAGGGAGCATATCTTAAACGGTATCTCCAGAATAACAATAAGTTAGGTCGAATCATTTCATGTTGTTTATGCAAGTCATTGTTTGGACCTTATACCAATACAAGTAGGTTGGTTGAGCAGTTTGCATCTAATCTGGAATGTATGGCACCCTCCGAATCATATTAGATGGTAGTACCAGTCAGTTGTTATACCTTAATTATACTCCCAACAAAGACATTACTATAGAAGAATGATAATAGAAGTGAACCCGGCCGGTTCCACCCAGCCGATTCTAAGATTAGAGCAACCAATATGTATCATATACTCTTTCTGTCTTAAAATATACTTTCTTCATCTGAAAATACTTGTAATTTATTTTGATAACAAGTATTTTTGGACGGAAGGAGTAAGGGAGTAAGGCCATCTCCACCGTGCGACCCAAATTTGATCCGCCTTTACGGTCGAGCGGACATCGAGCAGACGCTTCTCGTCCGCGCCTGGACCCACTGGTCAGCCACACAGGCCTCCCACCGGTCTCTCTCTCCCTTTTTCTCTCCTCTCTCCTCGTCACACCAGCTGCAGCAGAGGCGGCTCCTCGGCAAAACGCGGCAGGGGGCGCGGCGGCGCGGCACGGGCGCGCTGGCGGGCGTGGCCCCGACGAGACACCGAGGCGAGGCGACACGCGGCTTGGGCGAGGCGCGGCCGGTGGCGCGGGGTGCCGGCTCGCCGCGGCCCGGGCGGGGCGGGGCGCGCGCGGGCGCGGCCGGGCTCGCCGCAGCCTGGGCAGAGCGGGGCGCGCGGGGGCGCGGCCGGGCTCGCTGCGGCCTGGGCCGGGCGGGGCGCGGCCTGGGCGGGGCGCGGCCGGGCGCGCCGC